GGGGGGGGGGGGGGTCTTGGGCTCGGGTTCGAGGTGCCATTCCCTGGATACGCCACTGGTGCATGTTAAATAACATAGGAAGGTCCGAGTTTCACGGCGCCCTCCTCTGTAGTGTCTCTCGTAGTCATATAGTCATTTTGAGACGTAAAACCCCACATATGGTGTCGTACGCTTCCACCATGGCTCCGCGCTCGTCATTGCTACGAATGTAACACCAGAGAAAGTTCTCCTGCCAGAGGGCACTGCAGTAGCCTGTGTTGTGGATGCCGAGCCTGTACGATTCTGAGGAGCCGGTCATGGCTCTAGAGGGCGTGGGCTGGCTGTATCCAGTATTGTCTCGCCTCACTCGGCAACGAACGCTCGTCTAAACGTGTGCTGGCGTCAATGAACGTCACCTGGCGCCGACCTCCGCGTCCCTGACAATATTCCGCGCATCGAGTAAGTGCTGTGGTGACGCCAGCACCGCCTGTCCCTGTTGCGAAACAAGTAATACGTAAGCGCGCAAACGGGGAGAGACAATGTACAGAAAGCGAGACGGGCAATATGGAGGAGCGGTCATTGTTGACTTCGCCTTGAGTGCTCGGGCCGATACCTCGTAAGCATCTAATTGCGTGAAGCGCGAAAAGAGCTACGACATGTCTTGAGGCAGATGGTCCCACAATTGAAAGAAGTGTCAAGCATTCTTGTGTGTCCGTGCTTCATTTACAATGCCCTTTGTTCATACAGGAGGGCTATAAAATTTCTGTTTAATGCCTTGTACACTTCTTCTGGCGGCGTCCGCGCTTACACTTCTTCGAAAATGAAAAATGATTGCTCATAGCTTCTGTCTTCACGGATGTTCCTTTGCTTTCTGCCGCAATTTCCTCTGCTTAAGCTGATTTTTATAGTGCTATTGAGAAATGTTCGTACAGAAAGTCACTTAGCATGAACAAGTCGGCTGCTGGCATTCATTCATGATTCGCACCGTATAATATAGTATATGGATACTGGTATTAACGCAACTGTCCGCTCATTCAGCGTGGTGGGTTCGGCACAACAGATGCAATAACGAATTCGGTTGAAAATAACAAAGGGATATGGCATTGTCTCACTCCCTCCCCGGCGACACTCGGGACTGTTTAACACCGCGATTGCGCGGCGCATTACTTATAGCTCTAGGCTGTCGGATATTTGTCTCGACAAACACGCGCGCACAATGGTGAGTGAGGCTTCATATTTGCCTATGAATATGAACCCAATGGCGTCCCCGTGTCACGCGTCAACACTTAATCTCCGTGTGTTGATCTTACTACACAATACGCAGCTGTACAGGTTTTTCACCGTGTGATTGGCCAACGCGAGCTCACACTGGCGCGGCGCTGCGCTCATTTCGATGCAGGGACGAAGTGCTACTGGGCGCGGAAGGCGCGGGCATTATTTATCGCGTCCCCGATGCGCACTCGTCACGGCTCATCGTGCTCGTGCTCGCCGTGCGGCCCCGTCATTGTCGTCGACGCCATCACTCTTTCAGGAGCGGGTCCGTCGCGCTGGCGCCCGCCGCCGTCGTTTGCTCAAGCCCCAGCGGGACCACCGGAAAGAGAGTCCCAGTGATAAATTAATCGCGAGCGCGCGCACCCCAAAACTTTCGATTGCCGCTCGACGTTTCCCGCTGTTGGCGAAACGGTTGAAAAATACCCTCGTCGCCACTTCCGTCCTTACCTAAGGAATGGCCTTTATGCACGAAACCCTGAATCGCGCGGGAAACAAAAAAGCATCGATCGGTGTTCTGACATGGAGTCGAATCCTCGTTGAGCCTCGTACACGTGTTAGGACGTAGGCCTGACGACAAATCTGTGTTATTAGTTTCTTGCCCTTGGTAATGGCCAGTAATGAGACTTTGAAAACATACTTTGCCCAAGCCTACTACTTGCATCAAGCACTCCCATGGACACGAAGCTAAAAAGCCTTATTCTCTTTATATTTTTATCTTGCGAATAGTGGCTGACGGAGACTCGCGTTCAATTGAATCTCACCCGCGCTTTTTTTAAAGCTTTCTAACTGTTTTTGTCTGGTTTACTTCAACCTGTCTGCTCTCACGAAGGCTCTGTAAGAATAAACAAACCTGCGAAGAAGTTCGAAAAGAAGCCGCTCGAGGCACGTATAAGGTGGAACGCCTCATTGTATTTCTTCCATCGGCGAAACCAACAAAACCAATTTATCGTACTCTGTCGATCTACATGGCTGTGCGTGTGTGACTGTAGCAAACGTCCTTGAGAGACAACAGTGTCTGCAGATCGCTCCCGCAAGGTCCCCTCCTTTTGTGTTCTCAGAAGGTTAGCGCGCGCGGTCGTGGCGCCACCGAACGACTGGGTAAACGCTCGGCGAACGGGGGTAGAAGCCATGCGGCTCGGTTGCCTCGTCCTTATTGGTGGCCTTCTTCGATAGAATGTAGATGTTCTGCCACTGACTAGTGACGTGCAGTGTAGTGGAAGATAGAGACATCACGGTACGAATCTTCGCGAAAAAAAGGGCATATTTCCTGACACGCGGTAAGCGCACTGGCTAGTCTCTGTGGTACGACAGCGAGGGCTTTGGGCTTGTCGCAAAGCTCGTTCAATCGCTGGCTGCGCTGTGACGGCAGGTATCGATTAGACAGCGCCAACTGCATCCTCTATTTCGCTGCACCTATCTACGTCGACAATGTGTAGCAGTGGCTCACTGTTTGCTCTAACCTGTACAGGTGTCGACGCTTCGGTCTCGAGTGGCCAGGCGTTGCAAGCTGTACAAGAATTATGCGACTCGTCGTTGGAGAGTTTGTCTTTGCATTGCACAACACGACGTTTCATTCTGATCAGGATTGCTTTGGATAGGGTGCTATTCCACTGGTTGCTTCTGAACATCCAATTAGTCTAACGTTGATTTTCACTGAACTGCGCGTTAAGGTGATTCGAATTCGGGTGGGTCTACAGTGCGAGACAATTATCTTAGCACAAGCATCAATAGTAATGTGGGTAGGTAGATAAACGACTTTATTGATTCATGAAAGAATTGTGTGAGGAGGCGCAGGGGAGAGAGGGTGAAAGAAGCAGGACGATGATGACGTCCCGGGTCGCTATAGGTGGCCTCTCTGGGCCTAGCCCTCTGTACGGAGCTGCAGCTCCAGTTGCAAGCTGCAAAGAACAATTTACAAAAAAAAACTGTACGAAACTAAAGAATCAGAAAAAGGCACAGTATCTAGACTTCAAAATAAAGGTATTACTTATTTACTAGTAACAGTAGAACCGCAAGAGACCATAGTAAGACATATATCGAGGCCAATCTAGAAACTGAGCGAGAATTGTGTAGCTTGTAAGGGGAGCTACTCGCGTATCTGCGTCTGCCTCCTCGACTAACGGCATAGATATGACAAACAAAAGTTGTTGATTTTCTTACATTATGCAGCAAATTGATTTGATGCATCTTAGGAGAGTAAACGGAGATCAGGGTAGTGCCTCCGCCATCTTCCTCAGCATGTTCTTCTCAACCACTGACTTTTTTGACACGTGTCAGAAGTATTTCTTGCAGGTTAAGTTCGTTTGAACGAACTTCGCAACATCTGCTCGAATCTCATCATCTTACGGAGAAATCACAATATAGTCGCTAAAAATATATTGGCTCAAAAGTATTCGGTCTTGAAGTAATATGGTGACGTAAACAATACAACCACAGTGATTCTTATCATGGTGCAAATGTCTTCTTGGTGTCAAGGCGTCATGTCGGTGTGCTAGGTTGCGTGCTTTTTCTGTGAGTGTCTTTAGTCGTAATAACCCCCGCAGGATGCCTGCGCTCACGTTTCCTCCACCCCCCACCCCCCCCCCCGCCCACCCCCCCCCCCCCCCCCACATCCCCGCGTCACTGTCGCTGAGAGACATGTTTGTGTGGCGCAGGGGTAATCCTGGCATCGCTTGTTCTTTGATTGAATCGCGCCTAGACGCATGAATCGGGTTTCCCGCTCGCAACATCCCTCATGATACATCCATTGAAAGTTGAGCCGGCTCTCCTGCGTCTCCCATTGGCGGATGAGCGAGTGCGCACTGCGTAGCCATACTTCGCAACATGACCCCGTCTTCTGGTTCTTCGTTATTTTCCGCAGAGTCTGACATCACCTCGCAATCGCTCGGCATACAATTGTGCTTTGTGTCGAGATGGTCAAGAGACGAAACAATGAGAAATCGCCACTCTGCTTATTATTCATTGCGACCCGAACGAAGTAGAAAAGAATGCGAATATGAATTCGGGAGCAGTTCTCGTGCATAATAAGGCGACGTGCTGTCGATGAATGCAGTCCAGGTCGAATGAGCGAGCCATATTTCAAATATTTCATATGCGCGAGCGTAGGCTAATGTGAATTTCGGTGCGTAAAAAAGGAAGACCATGATTTCGACACCATGGCAAAGAAACCCAATGATAGAGAGACAAAAGCTCTGCGTGCATAATTAATGAAGTGACTTTAATTAGTCAAAGCGTCTTTGTTTCTGCAAGCCGTGGTTGGCGTGCGCGATGCACTGCTGCGAAAGAATGAAAATCGAATTTTATAGTAAGGGTAAAGGTGATAAAAACACTTGAATATTCAGTCGTATTGTAGCCGTAGATGAGGGAAATGTTAAAATGTGTTTTCTGGGGCCACTTTTAACATGTTAGGAAGCAGATTTCTACTTTAGCACTTGCCTCATTAGCGGCCGTTGCAGTAATCATTTTAGTGCTTCTGATGTTGTGATTACTGTGTTGAGTAATGTGTCATTTATGAAAAATAACCGAACAGAGGTGCTATTAGCTCAAGCCCAAGGATGGATAATTTTTTATCTTCTTGAGCCTCCATCTTCCCGGGAACTATTCACTTGTTTGTGTAGATGCAGGAGAGCCTCCTTAACTTTCTCAATGCACCCGTTTCGTTCCTACATTTAGGTCATGAAGCGAAGCGAAACTCTTGTACTTGCGTTTATAATACACATCTTTTTTTCTTCTTCTTCTTGCGCAGGCAACGGCAGCTGTGACCAGGTGATCATGAGCAACAGCTCCAAGAACGGCACCATCACGAGCCCAAACTACCCGAACCCGTACCCGCCAAGCACGCGCTGCAACTACCACTTCCAGGGGGAAGGCAAGGAGCGCGTCCAGATCAAGTTCACCGACTTTGACCTTTACATGCCTCACGAGGGCATCAAGGAGTGAGTCAGCACTTTATTCTATCTTCTACTCGACAGATCCCGCAGATCGAAGTGGCCAGGCTGTTCTCTGCGCTAAAAGTTCATGGCTTCTTCCGATTGAAGTGTCTTAAAGGCTTTTAGGTTTGCTGCCTTTTCAATGTGCTAATGCAGACTATGCTCGCTTTATCACGGTTTTTCATCAGTCAATAAAGCAGTTTTCGCATGACCTTATACTAAAAATACCGAGAAAATGACAAAAAACAAAATGTCGATATATCTCTCACTGCGTCTGAATCACATGCACGTGACTTCAAGAAGAAAAAAAATTGTGAACATTAGTGTGGTTGACTAGCACAGAAACTTGGGCGTGTTAGTACGTGGCTGTTATAGATGAAAAGAAGAACATAACAAAAAATAAAAATGACATCAAGCTGGGTGTCCTGATTGTGTGCCAAAATTGGAAATGGCATACGTTTGCACTTGTGGTGTATTATTTGTGTACTTTTGTATCCTCTAGTTCTTCCTAACATGGCTTAAACATGTCGTAGCGACCTCCATTTATTACACCATCGAGACTAGTATACGCGATTAAGACTGGATTTTTTAATTCTTTAACCGAGTTCACTTGCATCACTGTACACTAAATTTCAAAAGGCGCTCGCCCATTCTCGCTATCACTTTTATATCTTTCATCACAAGAAGAAAAATGTCTGTTTCACTAAAAACGTCGCAAGCTTCCAACTTCCGTATACGCCCGCTTGTACAAGAAAAATGCTCGCGACAGCAATCGCCATCATTTACATGTCGATCGGCACGCATCGCTTTTTGTTTTGTTTTGGCATTAGTTTATTATAAACTAGATACAAAAAAGCGGCAGCAACGCACGCTTGGGACCTGTCCACGAATGTCTACGTCACTCAGCAAGAACACGACACGCTTCCCTCCCTCCTTCTTTCATGCGTACACGCCGAAACTATTTGTCACCGACATCCATTCCTCTTTCATTTAAATCACCGCACTCTTCTACCGCACACTGGTGGCACAGAGGGAGCTGACAAAAAATTCAAAGCGGTGTAGGGGACACAAGACCCGTCAGGGTGCTTTTTCATCGTCCCCGCGCTAAAAGAAAAGACGCCTGCCGTGAAGCGACGGCCGGACTTGGCTGTCGCATGTTTTCTGTTTCTTGAGAAGACGCAATTATTCATCCTCTAGCGCACTCATGTTAACAAACTTAGCCGTTTTTCGTAGTCTTCTTCGTTCGTGTCGTTTTCACGTGGGCCGTGTGTGGCGACTATCTTTTATCGCTCACTCTTTCGATAACAAATTGAGGCCGGTTACTCTCGAAGGGCACTCCCTCTAGAGCTCGAAGTGGACGCCAGGAAAAGAAAGTAGAGGGAGAAAAAAAAAAGGCCAGATATATTGCATCACTGAGCGACCCCATAGGCCCACCACGTCGCTCGCGTCGCATATAATCGAGCTGAAAGCCTTCGGGCTTTAAAGGATCTTCCGGTGTACCCGTTCCGAACGCAGGGCGTTCGGCTGCAGTATGGTTCTTCGGAAGCATTCCCGATTTTCGGTCTTTTGTTTTCTTTGACTCTCTTTCTTTTATCTAGACACTTTTTCCTGATCTGCCATGACCGATCTCCAGAACGCTGTGCTTTCTGAGAGGATAGGTTAAAGTCAAGCTTTCAGGAGATTGTTTCAAACGACATTGACGAAGCAGTTTCGTTCCAGCGTTGTGGCGTATGCCGCTGATTATGGCGCTCTCCGTTCGAGTTGAACAACGCGCTGGTTTCGGAGAGCCTTTAGCTGCCCCCGGAGAAATGACGTTTTAGGGGCGAAGCTCCTTAAAGCGGTACCCGTTCGTCCCTCGTCGTAGTACGTAACATGTCTTACTCTTTGACCTGCAAGGTGGTGCGAGTGGGAAATTTCTCCTGTGTGTTGTTGAACAATAAAAATTCGCAGCGAGCGCATTAACTAAAAGCCGAATTCTCCTGTCTCTCATTCCTCATTAGCACAGCCAATGACATGTTCATTGAGCACTATCTGACAAGAAAGGGTTGCTACGTTATAATCGCTGGGTGTAACCTCTTTTGTTTTAGAAAGATTTAGCGAGCGTTGCGCCGCATTGCCGTGAATACATTGAACTAGTATATACCATGAACTCGAGGTGGTTAAAGGTGGGAAGCAGACACGAAGCGCAAGCCGTAAGAAAGTGTGCGTGTACCACCTCTCGTTTCGGAAGTAGGCACGTGACTGGAAGTGATTGGAGGAGAAAGGAGACGTGTCTTTTTTTTTCTCTCTTCCCCCTAACAAGACAGGAAAATGAAGTGGGTGGGCACAAGCGACGACGTCTTTAACGGATACTGTAAGCGAGCCGATGTGCGTCCTGTAAAGCGTGCACCTCTGTAATTATTGTCGTTTAGCGGCAGAGTCAGCTTTACAAAAACTTGTGAATAAAAAAGTTTTGTCAACGGCACTTTTTGACACTTTTGGAGTGTACTTAATTTTTCTATTAAAATTACTTAGCTGGAAATTAGCGTAAATTTCTCACCCCCTTTCCCACCTGCGAACACCGTTATCTAAGAAGCAAGTATACTGAAAGTGCCCAAAAATAAGCCTAATGTAACTGCGCGCTATGGCAGTCAAGGTCTGGTGTGAAAAGGCCACCCGCTAAGGTAGCTTAGCACGTAAGGTGTCGTGCTGCTAATCTCGAGGGCTCGGGTTCAATTCCAAGTCACAGCGACCGCATTTTAGTGGGGGCGAACTGCGAAGAACAAACGTGCGCTTAGATTTAGGTGCACGCCCTACAAGAAATCCAGGTGGTCGAAATTTCCTGATATCTCAACTACGGCATCTCTCATAATCATATGATGGTTTATGGAAATAAAGACGCAGCATTTATTGTTAGCTGAATACCCTTGCAAATCAGGTACCTAATTTGTGCATTAACGCTGGCAAACGCTCCCATGTTGCCTTTCTGGTGTATGCGGTCACAATGTTATACGGTAATATCCTGGAGGAGACGGTTTCTTGGAATTAATGGCATAGCAGACTGCTATTAATATGTACAGGTACAATTTATAAGGGTGCGAGGGGCTGCGACAGCCCCAATAGTCTGAATAAATTAAGCTGATTTATTGTACATTAATAGTACAAAAAGCCGTACATAGAATACTGTGGTTATCTTTCGGTTTTGTGTAGTCAACAGTTAAGTGAAGCAAAAGCCAAATCGAATAACAGCGCGTGGTACATGAAGCCAGAACACAGAGACATGCTTCGCTCTCGCTTCTTCTATTTCGTATCGTTCCACTAGCACTTTTATTTACATTAAACATGTAGCAGCTTGTCAAAGTCAATAGGCATACGACAGGCAAACAGGCGTAGATTCTTTCATAGCGACTTTCTTTATTTCTTTTTATCTTCAGTGCAGTTGGTCTTCAGGCATCCCGGTTTCCTGCGTTTTATTCACCAAGTTGAACACTTGTTTTTATACATTATTTTGTATTTGATTTCCACTTTTTATGAAAAAGCTTGTTAAGCTATTTTGACTACCCTTTATCTTGTCATTGGTGCTCAGCGAACTCAAAGTCAATAATCACGCGTCGACTTTTAAGCCACATCAATCTAGCCTTAATTCGATACTCTGTCTACAAGACAAAGATGTGTTCGGCTTATTTGTTTGTTTTTTGTATAGTAACACCGAGGGGGTGTTTCTTATGGTTGTTTCACTTGATTGTATGTATCTTATATCAATCCTATTTACCTATGCATTGATCACCTTGTGTTTGCAGCATTTTAATGTTGTGAAGGGTCAGTTTTACTTTTTAATAATTGATTAATATGTGGGGTTTAAAGTCCCAAAACCACTATACAATTGTGAGAGACGCCGTAGTGGAGGGCTCCGGAAATATGGACCACCTGGGGTTCTTTAACGTGCACCCAAATTCGAGCATACGGGCCTACAACATTTTCGCCTTCATCGGAAATGCAGCCGGCGCAGCCGGTATTCAATCCCGCGACCTGCGGGTCAGCAGCCGAGTACCTTAGGCACTAGACTACCGCGGTGGGGCGCTTTTATTTTTTTTAATGTGGTATGTATGTATGTATGTATGTATGTATGTATGTAGTATGTATGTATGTATGTATGTATGTATGTATGTATGTATGTATGTATGTATGTATGTATGTATGTATGTATGTATGTATGTATGTATGTATGTATGTATGTATGTATGTATGTATGTATGTATGTATGTATGTATGTATGGATGTATGTATGTATGTAAGTAGAAAACTTACACGTTCGCGCAGTACTTATGCACTGTTCCAACACGTGCGCTACTGTAAATGTGATAAGCGTGTCACGTACAATTTCGGCGCAGCTTCCATGTCGTCCTGTTAACACACTCGCGTTTTCTTTACTTTTGGCTGGCTCCGGCTCCGTTAAACGTTACGAGGGCCCAGAGGTCGCGGACCTTGCCGACGTTATTGTCCTTACGGCCGGAAACACCATCCGCAAGGACGCCTTCCTCTTCCGACGAAGGCCTTGAAGTGGCGGCTGACCCAGGTTCCAGCCACATCGATCGACCAGGTGAAACTGGGACACGGTGGCAGAGAGAAACTTGCGCTTCGCTTGCGCCGCGCCCGCTCGTTTCCTGCATTTGTAGCGATGACCAACGTGCGGCCGCTCGCTGCGGTGATGCGTGCAAATCAAGGCCAGCCTGCGCAAGAGTCGCACAGCTCCGTGCGTTATGTTCGAGTGGGCTGCGCTGTCAGACGATCAGAAGAACTCCGCGCGTTCAAAGTGCGAGTGTCTGGTCAGGCTGTTCTTTTTCCAGTTACGCCTCAAAGACGGCTCGTACGAACCCCCTCGGCCCCACTCGTTCTTGCTGCCAGAAAGTCTGACCTACTTCTTGTTGTGTCTGGATCTGTTAACTAACTTAGTCTGCTTAGGTCAAGTTTCTGTATTGAGTTTACGGTTTCTGCTGCACGCTCTGCATGCTGCACAGACAAACTGG